GCTTAGAGAACATGCACCTGGGGGATGCCCAGTACTAGGTGACACATCTGAAGTCAAATCTCTACAATAAAGGCTCATGGAACAAGTGGAATAAGGGGTAGAGAGAGGGCTAATGCACCCTTCAACTCTCACCAGTGAGGCTTCCATGTACATCAGAGTGTGTTACACACAGAAAGCCTCAACTGGCCAACTTTGGAGAATGAGTGTAGAGTGCATGATGGGACTCCTGTATGGAACCTCACCCACCCACGGCTCAGGGACCACTGCAGAAGAGGAGGCAGAAAGACTGTAAGAGCCAGGGCTGGTTCATGAACGAATGAAGTGGGGGTTTCCAGGCCAATGGAGGCTTGCTCATGTGACCCTATGGCAGCAGTGGTATCCAACACAGGACCCATGTCAACTCAATCAAACAAGGGCCCAAAGGGGAGGTGAGAAATAGGTGGTGGATCAGCACTAGATCAAGAACTATCTGAGACTGGTTGCTGCTAGGTGAGGGTGAGGGTGACTTGCATACAACCACTGGATGGGCTGACTAGACTCCAGGGGATGCATTCACACTGGAGTTCAAATGCCTGAATGAAAAGGACTCAGCATGCATGGCAGAGTGTGTAGGGTTTAGCGGGGGAAGGCATGGATGGGGGGAGGAGGTCTGTATGTGAGTGGGAAATATTGTATGAAATTTTAAAAGCTCAATAAAAAAAAGAATTAAAAATTCTCAATTATGATTTACTGTACCCTGAGCTTACAGAACAGCCAATGACCAGGGCCCAACAATTCTCTTTGGGATTGCAGGCAGAATTAATGTAGAATAATAATAATAATTCTTCTTCTCCTTCTTCTTTTTGAGACAAGGTCTCCCTGTAGCACCAGCTGGCTTGGAACTCACCATGTAGATCAGGCTGGCCTCAATCTTAGAGAACTGCCTGCTTCCCTTTCCTCAGTGCTGAGATTAAAGGCATGCACCACCATGTCCAGTTTATAATTCCTTTTTTTAAAACTTTATTTATTTAGTGTGTGTGTGTGTGTGTGTGTGTGTTTACATGTGAGTGCATGCCATGTGTATGCACAAGTCAGGGGATGATCTATAGGAGTCAGTTCTCTGTGTCTCTCTGTCTCTGTCTCTGTCTCTCTCTCTCTGCACACCATGTTCTGGGGATCAAATTCAGGTCATGACACTTGTTGAACCATCTTGCCAGTGTAGAATTCTTAAGAATACATCCCCATGGGACTGGGGAAGTAACTCAGTGTTAGAATACTTGTCTAGCATGCTCAAGGTCTTTGGGGTTGATCCCCAGTACCACAAAATAAAAAATTTTACAAAGAGAGTAATATCACGTATTCACTCAGTATTTAATATGTGCCTATCAAGTGTCAGATATTATTCTAGGTACTGGGAGTAGATCAATAAAATATATAAAGTCTCCTTTCTCATGTAGTTTATATTATATTATAGTGAAAGATATAGACAATAAGCAAGAAATTTAATATCAGAAAGCGTTAAGAAGAAAAAATAAAGCATATATTAGATGTGGTAGAACAAAAATCCCAGCACACAGGATGCTGAGGCAGCAAGATCAAGAGTTCAAGGCCCGCCTGGACTGTATAGTGAGACCCTGTCTCAAAAATCTAAAAAGAAAAACAAAGGAATAGAGAGTTGGGGAGACACCAGACAGAGAAGAGACTCAAGAAGACAGACAGGACCAGGATATTTGTTCAGGCACCTGGAAATGAGGAAGAATTACTGCAGATGAGAATCTGTAGAACATTCTATGTTGAGGAAGGAGGAACAACAAAGCATCTGAGGTAAAAATGGGCCTGTCTAGCCACAGTGAGGAGGGACAGAGAATCAACATTAGCAAGCAAGCTTGGGATGCAAGGTCAGTCCAACATACTCAAATCAATAAATGTAATTAACCATATAAATGAACTCAAGAACAGAAATTACATGATCACCTTGATAGATGCAGAAAAGGCAATTCAACCAAGTTCAGCATGCCTTAATGATAAAAGTCCTAGAGAAATTAGGATAGATGGTATATGTGTCAAAATAATACATGCTATATATGACATACCTATAAGTCAACATTATATTAAAAGGGGGGAAAAACAACATTTTCTCTAAAATCTGAAACAAGACAAGGGTACTTAATTCAATCCTATTCAGTATAGTGCTGTAAGTCTTAGCTAAAGCAACAAAACAAGAAAAAAGATGTAAAGGGATACAAATAAGAAAGGAGGAAGTTAAATTCTCCCTATTTGCTGGTGAAATGATTCTATGCTTAAAAGACCCTATAGACTCTACCAGAAAACTAGATGTAATAAACATAGCAAGTTTCAAGGTACAAAATCAATGTGCAAAATCAGTACCTTTGAAAATAACAAACTCGCTGAGAAACAAATTAGGAATAATATCTCATTCACAATACCTTTCCTCCCCATAAAAATATCTAGGAATAAACCCAACCAAAGAGGTAAAAGACCTCTACAAGGAAAACTTTTTAAGACAGTTAAAAAAGAAATCGAAGAAGACACTATTTGATAGAAAGACCTTCCATGCTCCTGGATTGGTAGAATTAATATTGTGAAATGGCTATAATAACAAAAGTAATCTATAGATTCAATGTAACCCTCATAAAAATTCCAATGGCATTCTTCAGAGAACTATAAAAAAAATTCTAAAATTCATGTGGAAACGCAAAAGACCATGAATAGTCAAAGCAATTCTAAGAAAGAACAATGCCAGAAGTATCATATTACTTGACCTCAAATTATCCTACAGAGCCATAGTGACAAAGACAACACGATACTGGCACAAAAACATAGATATGCAGACCGATGGAACAGAACAGAGGACCAAAATAAATAAATAAACAAACCCATAGAACCAATGACACCTAATTTCTGACAAAGGTGCCAAGAACATATACTGGAATTCAATAAATGGTAATGGCAAAACTGGATAATTACCCATAGAAGAACAAAAGTAGATTCTATCTCCTACTTTACACACACACACAATTCAAAATTGAGGGGGCTAGAGAGATGACACAGCGGTTAAGAACACTGGTTATTCTTCCAGAAGACCCAGGTTCAAATCCCAGCACCCACATGGCAGCTAACAACTGTCTGTAACTCCAGTTCCAGGGGCTCCAACAGCCTCTTCTGTCCTCGCGGGCACTGCACAACACAGGTGCACTTACCTACATGCAGGCAATACACTCATAAACATAAAGATAAAAATAATAAATAAAAATATTAAAAAAACAATTCAAAATTGATCAAAGACCTTAATTAAAAACCAGAAACAAACTACTAAAGGAAAGCAAAGGGAAAACCCAGGATAAACATACAGGGAATAACTTTCTGATAGAACCTCAGCAACATAGGAAATAGCCTCAAGAATTGAAAGACGGAATTATATGAAATTAAAAAGCTTCTGAATTGCAAACAAAGCTATTAGCAGAGTGAACAGAGCCTACAGAATGGGAAAAAAGTCTTCATCAACTATACTTCAGACAGGATAGGTTAATATCTAGAATACATAAGGAACTACAGAAATTAAACTACAAAACCTCAAATCTGTCAATCAATAAACGGGCTGATGAAATGAACATAGAGTTCTCAAGAGAAGAAACACAGGGCTGGGGAGATGGCTTGGTTGCACAAGCATGAAGTCCCAGTATTAACATAGATGCTGGGTATGGTGGTGCATGTGTGAAACCCTAGCACTGGAGTGGAGGCAGAGACACATGCATCTTCAGAGATCAAGGGGCCAATCTAGTTTATCAGTGGGCACCTTACCTGCCAAACCATCTCACTGATCAAAAATCTTACAAAGTTTTATAGAGCAAATGACAGTCAATGGAAGAGTAAAGAATGAAATTCCCACAGGAAGAAAATACCAAAACAATGCAGGAGTCATTTGTTATATTAGAACCGTACTTTCATAATGATAGGGCTCTCCTGGGAGAGGACGACCCTGCTTAGATGAAGGACCTAAGCTAGTACCAAAGGCTGTTTCATTTGAGTGTATCTGTGAATATGAAGTGTACCCCTGGGCTTTGTTTCCAAAATAACCAGGGAGATAGGGCAAAGTGCACTCTGGCCTGTGCCCCTTTCACTCACAATGATGCCTGCCTGTGATTCATTAGATGAAGTTGTGCATGAGATACAAGGAGAGCACCTTACGAAATGGGATTGTATGTTATTTTATTTTTTATTATTTTTATTTTATGTGTATGGGGTATTGCCTGCATGTAGGTAAGTGCACCCGAGTCATGCAATGCCCATGGAGGTCAGAAGAGGCTGTCGGATCCCCTGGGACTGGAGTTATGGACAGTTGTTAGCTGCTACGTGGGTGCTGGGATTCAGACATGGGTCTTCTGCAAGAACAACCAGTGTTCTTAACCGCTGAGCCATCTCTCCAGCCCCGAGTATGTTATTTTAGATTCCCTATATGATTTATTTACTTCTCATTATTATTTATAGGCCTAATTTTAAGGGTCTAGAGATATCTTTTTTGGGAAAATCTGTCTATTATTTTAGTATTATTTAGAATTACTAAAGATCAAGTGAATGTTAAAATTTATGAGTAAAAATATGCCTCATAAGACCAGCCAGGATATTACTGCAATGTTGTATATCAGAGACCTATTTTGGTACTGACACATACATGAAGGGAAAAGAATACAAATATAAATTATTAATTGAATTTTAATCTATACCTTCTTTCCATTTGAAATACTCTACCCACCTGGGTATGGTGGCACAGGCCTTCAATCCTAGCACTGAGGAGGCAGAGGCTGGTGGATCTCTTTGAGTTCAAGGCCAGCTTGGTCTACCATAGAAAGTTCCAGGCCAACCAAAGCTTCATAGTGAGACCCTGTCTCAAAAATATGCCTGTATTATCTTTCACAAAATAACCTGAAAGCCTGGATACTATGTAATGATAAAAATGCGATTTATGTAGTTTTATTAAGACAAAACAGTACTCAGCTTACCGTGGTGATGTAGCGAGAGTGGAATTCTGGAGCATCTTTCAGGAACGTAAGGCCAGGGTGTGTATCTACCACATCCTTAAAAATATTGAAATCAAAACTAAGTTAACAAACAAAGTTAAAAAATAAAAACAAGCTGGGCGTGGTGGCGCACGCCTTTAATCCCAGCACTCAGGAAGAAGAGGCAGGTGGATCTCTGTGAGTTCAAGGCCAGCCTGGTCCACATAGTGAGTTACTCCAGGACAGCTGGGGCTACAGG